CATTGTAGGGTGACTCTTTAGTTTTTGCTACTGTAACATAATTATTTTTATCGTTATTTAGGTAGTTCTAGGTTACAAACGAACTTTTTTCATTTTTCTTGGCTGTAGTAACAATTTTCTTTAAAGGATCTGTTATGGGTTCATAGGTTTTGCTTAGGACTTTTTCAACTTCATCCTTTCCAAACTTCAACTGTGTGTACTTTTTTTCACGGGTTCTCTTGCCTTTACTAACTTATTGAGTACGTTTTGTCTCCTTCATACATGTTAATGCTTTAATGCCTTTTGTTGGACTACAAATTTTTTCTATGTTTCTCTTATATTTAGAGGGAAATTGTCAAAACCTTTATTATATCGACCACTTTTTATCTGTACATCCTTGTAAATAACAACAAATCTATACCGATCATTATTCCAACAGCTGGAGCATAACTTTTAATTTAATTTTTATTAACATAATTTTTACCACTGAATACAGCACGAATACTATCTGGAAAGAGCTCACCATGCCGATTTATACGCTTTTCTTGCTTTACAATAGCATTAAAATTTGGAACTGGCAATGTTACTGACTGTATGACGTAATAGTTATAGCTAAGCTGTGAGATTAAATTATACTGCCCTTCAGACCCTTGTATTTTTTTGTTATACTATGCCTACATTGCAACTGATCTGATGACTGTAAGTATACATTTTTTTTCACAATACTTAGTCACAGCCCCACCTTTAAAGTAAAATGATCATACATAATAAGCGAGGATATGTTCTTGTAAATAAAATCATAAGTTCTTTAGCTACAGAAATTCATTTGCCAGGTTATCAGTTCTGTGGATTAGTTACTAAACTAATGGAACGCCTCACTAGAGGTGATCTTGAAGTAAAATTTTTTTTTTCGTGTAGTATTCATGCAATATAATTAACCAAGTAATGTTTCATGGTATCGTCAATCTGCTATAGTAAATCTTGACGACTAGAATAGACCTGGAACTCACTGGGTGGCGTATCGAAAATATGGCCAGAATGTTGTTTATTAAGACAGTTTTGGAGATTTGCAGCTGCCTATTGATTTAATGTTGTATTAGGGTGTTGAAACAGTTCAGTATAATCAAAAACGATATTAAAAATTTAACCCTCAGAACTGCGATCATTTGTGCTTAAAGTTTTTATCGAAACGTGTATAATCACTCATTATCGTAAAAAAAATCTCAGTTTTACATTGACGGTCATTGAAGGAACATTAACACTTAGTTCATCTGGTACTTCTTCTACCCTAGAGGCTCAATATTTTTCACCTTTTTATTTATCACCAGAACATTGAAAGTAAATTTAAAGTATTAAGTTATTTTTAGTCCATGTGTTACAACCGAGAGATATAAGTATCAGTATCAAGCCAAATAATAATACACTTCGTAGTGTTGTAAGATGGAGTCATACGACTGATTTCAGACCAAAAGATTCTATAAAGCGACTACTAGGTTCTACTGAACGATTACGACAAGATTACTTTACTCATGACTCTGACTCACCTGTATCCATTCTCAAGATTAAAGCATTACGAGTTGAGTGCAGCATCACTAGTGTAGCTTATATGAACAGGAAAAAGTTCATACAATTCATAAATTTTTTCCTGCGGTACCACCAGGATATAAAATTATTAAAGTTTCATCACAAATAATTGACTAACCTGTCATTAGACGAGTCATAGATCACTCACAACTAAGTGTTGTTGACAAAAATGGTAATGCAATCAATTTTTTTGGAACAGTTATAACGATAAAATGAAAGTCTCGTCTTTAAAAAAAAAAAAAATGTACACTAACGTTCAAATTTTTTACCTCAAAGATGGATGACATTTTAAGCATTCAGTCCCCCGTTACGTTGGATGAGTCTATCGCGCACTATGAAATTCATGCTCATCAACCATATGCATTATCAACATACAATAGTAGTAATAAAGTTCGTATATTGATTCAACATCAAGATCTATACCTGCTACTATCCTGCAGTTTCTTACATATTGATGGAAGAATAGTCAAAGCAAATGGTATTACGACGGCTGCAAATACTATATGAGTAAGCAATGCTATCCTTTATCTATTTTGAGAAATAAAATATAAGATTAACGCTATAGAGATAGATTCTAATCAACACGTATTATCTGAAAATGCTGGTTGGCTTGGTATTTTGAATGAACTAAACCTAACAAATAAAAATAACTACTTTCATCTTTTGATTCCTCTTAGTATGATTTTTGGTTTTGCTAAAGACTATCGTGAAAAAGTTGTTAATAAAAAGCATTAACTTTCACTCACAAGATCTAAATAATTTGAATGCAGTTTTACAAAGTGAAATTACTGCTGAAGAAACTAATGGAGTGGCAACTTGGAAAGACTTCAAGACATTAATATTAAAACAAAAATGGCTTGTGCCTTAAATTCTAATGTCAGATGCACATAAAATTCGAAAGTAATTGAAATTATTGACTTAAAGATGCCACGAAATTTTCGTAAATGCACAACTAAAACAAAAGTAGCTTGAATTATTTCGATTTAAAGTCACTGATATGACAGATTATCCTTTGTTTGGGATCTCTAAACTGGTTATCATTTACCCTCATTACAATGGAGCTTACAAAACAATGTGTGCTCTTCACAATGTCAAATGCATGAAAAAGTTCAACTTATATGCAGAATAAAGAGATTATAGTAATGATAATAAGAAGCTGTACACATAAATATTTAAGAACAATGTTATTCATACTTTGTAAATTGTGGTTCAAAATAAATTTTTTGAAAAATAAAAATAAATGTTATAAAATTAACTACTATTTTCTTGAAAATTAAAAATTTACTCCTTGTCCCACCTACTGTCATCATAAATTACATTTAAAGTAAAAATCTTTATAAAAATATATACATACATGCATCGTACGTAAGTATTTTTCTATGTATTTAGATAAACATGTAAATGTGTGTATATATTACATTAGAGAGATAACACTTATTCGTCATACCTCACAGATATAAGCATATGGTTAGAACTCTCATCTATACATATAGAACAACACTCTCTCCTACAGGCTAACCAGAGAGAAGAAAGCTGTGTACAACCCCTAGCGCTTTGTGTAGAGTTGTGACTATCCACGCACGGTTGGAACGAAATTTGATTTTTGAAGTCTTAATATTGAAAAAAATGTGAGTTATAGATTTTTAAACAAATGATTGAAAGTAGTACTTTTTTTGCAAATAGCAAAAAAATGGCTGGACTGAATTTTTTTCAATAGAGCTCATTTCCTTTGTTTAAAAATTGTGCATTGTTTCTACCCATATAATTTTTTGTCTGACGTTCCAGTTTTTTTCTGGACGCAAAAAACAAATTTTTTACCATTGTTAGCATTTTTTTTGGTTGATTAGCTGATACGATTTTGAGTCGAAGATTATTATGGATTATTTCTAAAACTGTTGAACCATCGCTTGGATTCTTTTCGCGTGAGAAGCAAATTTTTAAAAAATGAACATGCTTTATTGCTAATTGTATCCTACTACAAACAGTGTTCTAATCTTTGTAATGAATCTATAGCTTTTAAAAGTTTTAAAATCACAGTATAACTATAGTGAAGTTTGTTTTTTCTGGCGCAACATAAATTCTGTATGTAGTATTTGTAGTATAATAATGTCTAGTACTTGTACTGTAACGTAATCAACCCAAGTAATATTGACTTTTTACTGGTACTTTATGCAAATCTCACATTATAGTATTTTCATGCCTTGCTATGTCAAAAGTATACAAAAAAGGAAAGGTATTATTTCTATTCATTAAATTAACAGCTTATATAGCATACCCGTCAAAAGTCAATATTACTTAGTTTGATTTTGTTGATAAATAAATACTAGATAGTAATATACTGCAAGTACTATTTAAATTGTATACTATACAAAAAAAAAAACTTTACCACTTTTATATTTTGATTTCAGAACTTCTGAAGGCTACAGATTTATTAGGAAGAATACCATTAACTACTGGTGTAAAAAGGCTTTAGAAATTCCCTACAAAATACTAACTCAACATATTAAACTGATTCGAGCTCTAAGGTTTGTTAGAAGGTTTTTATCACTTAACTTTCTAAAAGGTACACATAAAATCTAACCATTAAGAAAAAACATTTTTATTTCATACCATGCCTCAAAAAAGTTAAATATATTTAAACTTGTTTAGTTGTTTTAAAAAATAGTTTAAAATAATTCTATTACAATATATGAATGTGTATGTAATAATTAGTGAGTTCTGTATTTACTTTTTAATTAGCCTTGTGCCTTAAGTGAGCAAGCTAAAGCTACGTTCTGCGAAGTAAGTTGTTATCAGTGTAACGTGTGTTAAGATTGATTTAGTAGTAATGTAGGTGTTAAAGTAACTTACAGGTCTTTTTTGTAAATAGTTGTTAATAATTTGTTTCTAACGCTAAGCTATACTACAAATAACGTCTTTTTTTATAATCAATGTAGCACATATAAGATCGTTTGGCTTACCCTACTTCTAATTTAAAGCAAATATAATTAAACTACTTAATACGGTAGTTCTACAGAAACCCTTAGGTAGCCCATCAGGAAAAATACCAAAAACAATGGACATGAAATTATTTTTTTTGTGCATCCTTTTAGGTAGTATAACAGGTGTATATCTTTCATGTATATACATAATATTACCTTTACAAGGTCATTCAGGACCTTTTATACTTTTATTTTCGTTAGTTTTTAAAAACGTAGAAATAAAACGTACAAAGCAGTTTCTTACTTTCTACTTGATATGTGGATAAAAACGTTCGCAACTACTTCTATCGCAAATACATTAGAGTTTTACTGCTTTGTAAAAACTGTTTTTCGTATTTTTAAATTAATATTGTTGATAATTATAATCAGACTTCATAAGATCTTTTATTAATCCATATAAATGACACTACTTAAACTATTTTGAAAAACAAATTCCAAGAATACAAGTTCACTCACGTAATCTAATAAAGATTCAATGGCTTCCTCCGTACGGCCAGAAACAATGACAAGACGGGGAAGATCATCACTAGGAGCTCCATTATTTTTTTTTGTTACTTCTGATGCTTTGAGAATGGTATTAGAAACCGTACCGTTAATTGATGTTGTATTAACAACAGAGTATAGACCATTCCAAGGAGTCAGCTCTTTCAGTACTGTCAGTTGACCCTCAACTAAACTTTGAGCCATAGTATTAGGTGTTTTATAATGCAAATTTGGTGCAATTTGGCCAGTCTCTGAGGCTATGATCATCTAAAGAGGAACAATAATAACTTTTAGTCCTTAAGAATAGTAAAAATCGTTTAACATTATTTTTATACTTAGTAAATAATTGTTATAAGACTATCATTACAAAAAAATAGCAACTAAAAGAAATTTTTAAGCTAAAGCTTACAATAAATACGGAGAAGCCCTTTTTTTCTAATATGCAAGGAAATGTCTGTTATTACAATGTATGAATTTAAAAATTTTTTTGTTTTTAAGAAAATATGTCTTTTGCCCTCAAGTTACTTGTTACTTAATTAAACGTAATTTTTCCTCGTTGTCATGATAATGAGAAAACAATAGGTGCTTGAGTACCAGAGTAAGAAGTTAGACTTTGATGAAATAATGTGTCTGATAACATAATTAAAAAATAAATATAATTTTTATGTAACGATAATGTCACAAAGGTGGTATAACTATCGTATAAATGAGTATACCTACGTTGATTAGGTATGGTTCCATAAGGTTTTTTAATTTTTAGTAAATTAACGATTAAAAGCTGTGTATTCATGCATAATACAATATTAACAATGTATTGACTGATCAGTATAAGAATGTGTGTTTTCATTGAATTTTCCGACTATTGAAGAACAACTTCCTACTGACGATGCTGATTACATCTCTATTGTCACGCTTATACACTTTTTTCTAGTTTATATTATATACTTAAAATATAATTGTACCTAAAAAGTAACAAAAAATCATTGTTTATTCTTTAACTGTACCCTTTTTCTATGATTATTTTTTAAAAAATCGCAATTTAACATGTAACTTTATGAAAGAATCACATAAAATGGCATTTCTACGATATGTAGAAGTCTCTTATTTTTTAGTATTAAAGATTATTTTTAAATCAACCTTTTCAATTTTTACATAGACTTACAAGTTGGTTTTTATATAAAATTTAGAAAAAAGGGATCAAGTATGCGTAAGAGCATGTATGTAAGTACATGCATATGAGAAGAACAACTGCCAACTAAGCTGCTGATATTTGCACTCCATTCACTGCTCTGATCTATTCCCCCAGTAACTATTTAAAAAATGCTCTTGTAAGGAATGGAAAAATTGTGAAAGAATAAAACACAATAAAAATTAATTATTGTATCTTTACAGGACAAGAATTTTTATTCAATCTTTGAAAATTTTAAAAGAATCGAAAAAAATAACATGAGGAGTTATTGAATTATCATAAAAGTAACAAATTTATAATAAATTAACAAATATTCGTTAAAATACAGAAAAGCTGCTCTGCTGAAATATAATAATTTCTAAGTATATTAAAAAACGTTTAACAAAAAGAATATTTAATTAAATCAATTATTTATTAATTTCATTTATTGTTCAACAAAAAAGATAACTATTTAATAAATAAAAATTAACATAAGGGTAATTGTTACAAACTACACCATAACACGCTGGAATCAAAGTTCTAATATCAAACAACATAGAAATAGCAATACCAAGAGAATAAACTTTAAATTTATATTGTAAACAAACAAAAATAAATAAAATACGTTAATAAGATTTTAAGGTTACAAAAAATAAGGTTGCATTACAGGAGAATCAAGTACAACAGAGTCCAGAAAATCTGAAATAAGGATGTAGTGACTAAAGAAATAATACAAAGTCATTGAGCACTGTATGTGTGTGTAAGGGTGTGAGTGTGCATGTTAGTGTGTGTATGTAAAAAATAACACATACACATTCTATCACACGCGTGACGATGTTGAACCAATTTTTTTTAGTTACAAAAAACAGAATGCACACGAATTTACAAGTGAGAGTAATACACGATGAGAATATTTTGTGCTCGCAGATGTTAACATGCAGAATATGCTTATGATTCATGCAAAGGTCAGCTGAGCTTGTTGCATTAGTACAGTTTTCATTGACCTCCACAATAATTTATGAATAATAAGCATCATGACAGTGAATAAGTAAGTTATATTTTTGATAAAATAAAAAATAATTTATTTATAATACTAAGATATTTAAATAATTTCTTAATTTAATCTTGCTAGTTGTTGTTAAATCATTCAGATACTGCAGATAATAGAAAAAAAACGTAGATCTTAAAAGATAAATAATGGAGAGTAAGTCATTTGTTTTTTTTCCGTATATTTGTATTAGCTCGATAAAGTTTTCAATTACTTGAATGACCGATGACATTACCCGCTTTCCTCTAAAACAATATCTAGACTTCCTTTTTTTATATTCAACTTCACATTTACCCATTTTTGTAGATTTAACTAACACTTTTATGCACTGCAAACGTTGATGTAACGTGAAGCAAGTTTTTGTTGAACCAACCAAGTACGGAGTAGTGTTCTGGAAATAAGTTGTTAAACAAGACTGTGAGGGCGCACCGAGATTAAAGAGAAAAAAAATATCATGAAAATAGTTAGCATCAGTAGCAGCATTGGAATCGCGTGCCGAAAAGTGGTAGTGAGAGCTGTGCAACTATAGCTCCAAGCGAGTGGGTCAACAAGGAATCGACCCGAGTGATGTTTGAGTGAGCACTGCTGCGATGTTGCTCTTGTACCACGGATACTAATCTTGTTCTTCGTGGCCCAGCTACTGCTGCTGCTGCTTTTGTGGTCAAAGAGATGATTAATCGCACCCAGTTCTCTCGTGTTTGCAAAAAAAAATTTTAATATTCAGCCATACATTTGTATCACATCGTGAACATGCGTGTGTTTACAGTAAGCTTGTCTCCTCGTGTGCTCTAAATTGACGAGAAAATTGTGCATGCCCATGAGCATGTGATGGACAGGTTTTTCTAAGAACAAGAAAAGCTGTACCTCTGCGGATCTTTCGCTTATCCAACTATATATAAGCGTAAACATAGAAGATCGTTGTCGTTTTATGGCACTTATTGATAATAGTCAATCCTGTACCAACGACGAATTCCGAAGTATTTTAGCTCCAGTAACATTTAAGTTATGTTTTTGGGAACACATGTATTTCGGGCCTTAGTTTTTTTCACCCCAGTCTGATTGCGCATTACAAGATACTTTTTTCCGTAAGTACCTAAAAAAGTGTCAGTTTTCTTATCAAGTAGACCTCTGTGAGCTGTTTGTGGATGGTTTAAAAGTTTGGCTGCATTAAGATGTAACAAGAACTGACTTGAAAACTTTGGCCAACAAGTTTTCTTTATGTTTAACCCTTCAAGCTGTTTAAATAATCAATATTATTGGATTATCCTTGACATGATATAATTACTGTATAAAGTTGGGGTGGTTGTAAAGAATTACTTTCATAATGTGTAGAGATAACTAGCTTGCCCTACACTTTTATAAACTCCTTTTGCAGTCACCATCCTCCTCATATTTCCACAAACCCATACAATTGCAAGAAAGTCTGAAGTATTTTATTTTTATGAAGATAATAATTTTACGCCACATTTTCCACAGCCTTATTATCGAGTCGATGGATGGCTTGGAAAATAATGAGTGGTAAGGAATAGAATGACCAGTGAGAGAGCGAAAGAGAAAGTACATTAGGCCATTGCATGCTCCGCTCCTGGTTTGATAAAGAGAAATTGCGATGGATCAGAGAAGCCTACAGATGTTTGTTGATTGTAAAAGCAGTGCTCACAGCTCTCGGAATTGACAATTTATGGAAGATGAGGGATTGGGGTGAAAGTCAGTGTATGGATATAGATAGATACGTGCGGCATACATAGCTCTCATGAAATCCAAGATTACCATGTAAAATGCATGTACACATTGGGGCGCATTTTTCAAGCACTGATTAGGATCCCTAAAATTGGGTCATAGAAACTCATACCATGGTGGTGCTTACCTTTGATTCACCACTATGAAAGTTGATGTACACTGAAAAAAATTCTCTACGATTTTGGATGAACACACCACCGCCGTTTCAGCGGTTCGGCCAGTGGTAGTTGGCTGCAATACTAAAACAGCAGTGTGCCAGGCCGTTTTAGCTTGGCTCATCTGCTATTGGCATTATGCTTCTACCACGTGACCTTAGTATATATATGACTAATATAGAGGGAAAATAACACAGGTCTTATGGGAGGAATCTTGTGTTTATTTTTTTTCGCACTTAAAAAGATATTGAGCTTAAAAAGGTTGTTAATTCCATGTTACTGACATAATGAGAGTTACGTAGTTATTTTTTTCCTTTGGTGAATTCGTTCATGAAGGTTGAAACAGCGTTTTGAACGTACACGGAGTGCCATTAAACCCTACTTCGAGCCTTTTGTTTCAGCTGTTGCTGCTGCTGCGCTACTGCTGCTGATGCTCAGAGATAAACAAACAGCTCAAAGTAGGGTTAACCGTTAAAAAATAACTACGTAACCCTCATTATGTCAGTAATATGGAATTAACAACCTTTTTAAGCTCAATATCTCTTTAAGTGCGAAAAAAAATAAAAACAAGATTCCTCCCGTAAGACCTGTGTTATTTTCCCTCTACATAAGTCATATATATACTAAGGTTACATGGTAGAGGCATAATGCCAATAGCAGACGAGCCAAGCCAAAACGGCCTGGCACACTGCTGTTTTAGTATTGCAGCAACTACCACTAGCCGAACCGCTGAAACGGCGGTGGTCTGTTCAGCCAAAATCGTAGAGAATTTTTTTCAGTGTATTATCCAAGTATTTAGGGTTCAGGACAAAGATTCATTCTGTATCTAGCACATACGTAAGTCTTACAAGCATTGGTATTTGTCGTGGGAGCCATCCTTCTGTATATATGTACATCATTTCTCCAATGTGCTATTACAATCACTTGCTCTATACATTTATGTGGGCTAGACAGGTGTGTTGACGCTACAACAGGCTGTGAGGTCGGATGATTATTAATATGGATCTGTCATCCAAGTAATGTGGGCTCGAGTGCTGCCTATGGAATTGATCAGTTTGCAAAGAGGACGTCGCAAGCATGTGGTAGGTTTCAAGGTAACCTGGCGGTAGTTTCAGAGTACAAGCGAGAACAATTTATTTATCATTTGGGAGAATTT